AGAGAGAGAGAGAGAGAGAGAGAGAGAGAGAAAGAGAGGGGGGCAAGAGAGGGAGAGAGAATGAGATTGAGAGGGAGAGAGAGAGAGTGAGAGATAGAAGGGTTGAGGGGGTGGGACGGGAGATTTCTAATGAGGGAATAGGATGTATGAAACAATGTTTTGTTTTATATAATGTATGTGGTCCTTGAGTGCTGTGGTGCCTTTTTGTTGTTTCTTTGTATTTTTGGAGTTTGCTGGGTTTTTTTTTAAATTTGGTTTTGTTTTTTGTTGACTGGTTCGTCCGTTCGTTTGCATGTTTATTTTGATTGTTTGGTTTTGTTTTTTGTTTGCTTTGGTTTCACGTACGTGAGTGAAGAAAAATGGAATAAAGCTTTTGGTTTTTTTATTGGACGAAAAGCAATGATTTTGTTGTGAGTCTGTATAAATGGTAAAGGGTGGGGGGGATGGGGTGGGAGGGTAACATGACCGCAGCTTTGTCCAGCTTCTGAACAGCGCATAGACCCCGGCTCCCATTGCGCTTGTTCCACACAAGAGAACGGGTCGATAAAAGCACCTGGGATCGGAATGAATCATTGAGCACGGAGTTGACAAGGCCACAACATACTACATCTCGCCAGTAGGGCTGGGCAATGAGTCGCTTTAGCAAAATCCGGATAATGTTAGTGCACCTCTTCTGCGATTAAATGTGTCATGAACCGCTTCAGCAATATGGGTTAGAAGAACCACTTCAAAATATGAGCGCGCCCACTTCGACAAACGGGTCAGGAAAGAGAGTTTAAGAGTCTGAATTCGGATAAAGTTTCACTGAGAAGTATCCGGTTATCCGGATTTTGCCCACCACAACTCGACGGGATTCTTTTACATAATACATCTTCCTGCGTGGCCGCCACACCCACAAGACATTGGCCAAGCTGTGAAAATGTGCCAAGCCACAATTTCTTTCTTTTTTTTTTTAGTTTTGTCGTTTCGCTTGTGTTTTTGTTCGGGTATTTTTTTTTCGGTTTGTTTTGTTTTGTTTTGGAATTGCCTCAATCTGTGGTATCGGTTGCATGTTATGCTCAAGAAACATTATGTCGAAATTCAAGTTTTAATTAATGAAAAAGACAACTAGAAGAAATTCACAATGCAGAGGTACACTTGTTGAAAGAATGAAACCTCTCTCTCTCTCTCTCTCTCTCTCTCTCTCTCTC